CTCCGGAATAGCCGCTACATACATCTCTTAAAACATCTTTTGATAGAAATAATATTATTGAACAGATGAGAACCTTAAAGAGCTAACATTCTCGATGGAACCAATATGAGCGCAGAGACCAATTTTCTTTGAGAATTAAAGCTGCTAAGCTACATGCATATGTATAATAGCCGTTCCTTCCTCTTTTCTAGATTTTTTTTCATTCTAAGCTCCATCAAGGATATTTTCAGGCTGAAACTCTCATTCGAACAAATCACCTCAAAATTGCGTAGTCCCGCAAGAAACTATCCACTTTCACGCAATTTAACGCTTTTACGATGCAAGAGAAATCTGGCGTAATGGAAAGAAAATAATCAACTTATTGAACCTTATCCTTCAAGTAACTATGGGATGCGAGGCATTGAGTAAGCTGGATGCGTCTCTGGCTTAGAAAAAGACAATGACGTCAAGCAATTAATCTAGAGTTTTTGGCCTTCTTTGGTTTTTCTCTCAACAACTGATAGAGGAAGACTTTTGTCAGATTTGATAGCATTGTTGCTGAAATGGCTGCAATCTGATCTTAAGCTCATTTTACCGTCAAAGAGTCGTAAGGGATGTGAGTGGGTTTTCTTAATATCACCATATAAAAGCGCATAGAATTGACGTAATTACACTCACTAATTTATCATCAAACCGGTAAATAAAAAAGATGATGGTGAGATTGTAGAAAATAAGCTAATTTTAAATTATCTGCTGCTCCGAGTTTATGTAATTAAACGTTTAAAATTTGGAAAAAACCATCAACTCACTGCAATATCGTTATCGTAGAGACCCATATTAGCAAGTGATAGCCGTTCACAATGTTCATTATATGCCAAAGATTCGATTAGTCGTCGAATTTGTGGAATGGGTGTGCGCTGGAAAAATTATAAAAGTAGAATTGCAGGCAATTAACCAGAAATAGTTTATAAATTTTTCACCTTCATGTTATTTAAATTGATTTCTTTAAGAGCTTCATCGTTTTCCATTAATTTTTGTATGCATTGGTCAACGTCGGTGTCGTTGTCGGGTTCTGTCGGCCGGGTCTGTTCGGGCAAACTACTCTTTACGGGTGCATTTCCAGTATCGTTCAGGATGCGTTCGGCTTCTTCCCAAGAGATAATTCGATTCTCATTCATTGCTTCTGCAACAAATAGATAAAGATTTTGAAAAATCAATAATTTGACTAT